CACCTCCCCCTCCTCCCCCCTCCCCCCCCCCCCCCGCCACCCACGCCCCCCCCCCCCCCTACCGCCCTGTGCACCACATCCACCCCTCCGCCGCCATCCTCCCGACCCCATCACCCCCGAGCCGGCTACCCAGACTCCTCTCACCCCCCAACACCGAACACGCCCCCCCGCCCCCCCACCCCGCTCGCACCCCCCCCCCCCCGCATCCGCCCCCCAACCCCCACCCCCCGCCCCCCCCCCGACCGCGCATTCACCCGCCACCTCTCACCTCCTCACCCCCCTCATCCCCCATCCCCCTCTCCCCCCCCCCACCCACCCCCATTCCCCCCCCCCCATTCCCCCCACTCGAGCCCCCGCACCCCCTCCCCACACCCCCAACTATCCCGCCCCCTCCCGCACCTCCCCCCGCCACCCCCACTCCCCCCCGATTCCCTCGCCCCCCATCACCCCACCCCCCCCACTATCCACCGCCCCCCCTGCCACCCTCCCCCAAACGCCCAAGCCCCCTCGCACCCGCCGCCCCCGCCCCCCAGCCCCCCCGCCCCCTCCCCGCCCCACCCCGCCACCCCACCTCTCCAGCCCCCCCGAGCGGCCCGCACCCCCCCCCCTGAGTCAATCGCCCCCAGCCCCGCCATCCCACCCCCCTGCCTCCATGCCTCCCCAGCCCCCCGCCCCCCACTCCGCCCCAACACGACCCCTATCCTCTAGTCTGCACCCCACGCCCTCACCGTCCTCCTCCACCCCATCCCCCCATCGCCCCCCCCCTCGCGCCCCCCCCCCTCACCCACCCCCCTAGCCCCCTCCCTCTCTCCCTCCCCCCCCCCCACCGCCCCCCCCAAGATCCCCACTCCTCCACCATTCCCTCCCCCCGCCCCCCCCAGTCCACCCCGCTCACCCCCCACTCCTCCCACGCCCTCCGCGCCCGCCACCCCCCCCCCCCCTCCCACCACCCCACCTCCCACTCTCAATACTGATTTACCCTATCATCCATCCCCCCCCACCCCACCCAGCCCCACCCACATCCCCCCCCCGCCCGCTCCCCCCCCCGATCTCCTATTCCCCCCATCAGCCCATCTAATCCGCCCTACCCCCTCCCATGCATCCCGCCCTAGCCCCCCCCCCCCCGTCGTAGTGCCCGCCCCCGCCCCCTATCCCCCCTCGTCCCCACATCCCTCCTCATCCCCCCCCATCATCCCCCCCGTCCCCTTGCCTCCACCCCCCATCCCCCGTACCGATGCCCCCCACGTGCCACAATCGTAGACAAGAAATCGATGCGTGAACCAGACACGCCCCCCCCAGCCTGCCCCGGCCCTTCCCTCCCCATCTTAATCCCCCCGAAGCCCATCACCCACCACCTGCCACCCACCCTAGTCTCCCGAGCACCCCCCCCCCCCCCCCCCTCTCCCCCCTTTCTTCCCCCCCCCCACGCCCCCCCCCCCCGCCCCCTGCCCGCCCCATCCCCCGCCCATCCCCCTATCCCCCCCCCACCCGCCACGCCGCCCCCCACCATCGAATCCCTCATCGCCTTCACCTCCTCCTCCCCCCCCCCCCCCCTCTCCCCTCCCCTCCCATCCAGCTCCGCCCCCCCCCCATCCCATGCCCCCCCCCTCCTATCCCCCACGCCCACCTCCCCACCCTCCACGCAGTCCCCCAGCCCATCCCCCTCCACCCTCCCTCCTCCCCGTCTCCCTTCCGACCCCACTAGCATGCTCCCCGCCCCATCCCCGCCTGCTCCGATCCCGCCCCTCCCCAGCAGATCATCCCTCCCCCCTCCCCCCCCAGTGTTCCCACCCCGCCCTCCCCCCCCCCAAATGCCCCCCCCAATGCCCCCCCCCACCCCATCACCCCCAACCCCCCCTCCACCAGCCCCCCCCCCCCTCCCCCCCCCTTGTCCCCCCCCCCCCCATATCCCTATCCTCCTATCCCCTCCCTCCCCCTCCCCCCCTCTTCGCCCTCTGCCCCCCACGCCTATCCCACCCGCCCCCCCCTCCCCTCCAGCTCAATCCAATGCCAGCCCCCCCCTAGTCGATGCCCCCCCCTCATCCTATCTTCCCCTCCCCCGCAACCCCCCCTCCCCTCCATCTTCAACCCCGCCCACGCGACCCCCCATCCCCCAGCATCTCTCCCCCCCCCCTGCAGTCTCTAATCCAAACTTCATCCCCCCGCCCCCCCATTCCCCCCCACCCCTCCCCCCCCCCCCCCCGAGCCCCCCCCCCCCCCCCCCAAAAGCCCCCCCCTAACGAACCAGACCCGAGGAATCATCTGGCTCAAACCAAAACCCCAACCCGCCGACACCAATCTGCCACTCGCAAATTGTTGATGAAATCAAAGATTCAAGCATGTAGCAGCACAATTACAAGCACAAAATATACAGCTACATACACACAGAAGTACATACTTTCATACCTTGCTACAAAAACGTGCACTGCTATGGCAAACATATCGAATTTTTGCACATTCTTGATCAAGCATTGTCAAGTCAGAATGTTCACGCCGTATAAAGCGTGTCATGCACTGTTGGTAATAAAAGCTTCATTTATTTATTTGCTTAGACTCGCTCAGATATCCATCACACATCCGAAAGGCACTTTACGCGCGTTTCCTCCTTTCGGGATTGGTTAGCCGTGCGCATTCTATCGGACCCTGGTGGGACACGAACCCGCAACTAGACTGTTACCAGTCCGTGATTAAGACCACGGAGGTACGGGGGACAGTAAAGACACTCGTGCAAAGTTACTAGATGTTTATAGCGCCGTCCCCGTAACTCAGTTATCTCAAACACGGAACAGCAACTGTCGAGTGGTGGGTTCCACTGCTACAAGGGTGGGATGGAATACGCACCGTTGACGATTCCCAAAGGACGAAAAGTGCGTACAGTGCTTTGCCGCGCGTTTTACGGCTGTCAGAGTTAGTCTAGGAGTGACTGCGCTTTACTTATATAATTCAAATCCCACCTAACACTCCCCTGAAATAAATAAACGGTACATTCTCGGTGTGAAAGCGTCTGTGCTGGACCAGGTTCATATCAAGAAAAAATTGTATGCATCATTGTTGTTGTTCTTCCTTTGGGCCGCACTGATCATACAGCCATATATTTCATCTTCGCCTGCTAGGCGGAAAACCGAAGTTTAAAAATGGATGGTGCATACCATCGCATGCCACAGACGCTTAAAGCCGTTTGGCAGGGAGACGAATTGATCGTTCCTCGCCGAAGATCCGCCGAAAGCCGCCAGGCTAAAATTCGTCAACAACTGCAATCGAACGAATACAGGTGCTGCAGGGACTAGGGTTTTCCGTAGAACTAAATCACTTGTTTCCTTAAGGACCAAAACACAAACCTAACTACTGGCAACCCACGCGGCAGGTCAAACGTGAAGAGTAGCTCCAACACCGGCGACATGGAACAATTATATGGCCAAGCTTACCACTACACCCAACTGCATAGAGAAGAGAAAGCCGCATTTCAGCAGAAAAGCACAAAGTTGTAGTGACAATGACATTTTACTCCATCAAGCGTCACCATACAGACTTGTACACATTTTGTTTTACTTTGCACTCATCCGAAGCCTATATACCGGACTGCATTTTGGAACTTGTCCGCCGTCTTGCCCGCATGTTCAGGGCTGTTGCGCTCAGTCGCGGTGTAACCCATTGCTTCACAACTTTCTCCCACTGCTCTCAGGCATATTTACATAGCTATTGTACGGTGCTATTTCTTCAAGACATTCTTTACATTCCGCCGTCTTCTGTCTTACTGGGCTACGGATTTCTTATGTAGCATTGGTCAAGGCGCTACAAAGTTTGCCAAAGCTTAGCCCAAACGGTTGTACAAAGATATCATTAGCCTTCGCAAGGTGGGTCAAGAAGTTTTTTTGCGCCGATTGATCAATGACTTAAGAAGTGGGCTGCATTAGCAGAAAACGGGGTGCATGCGCATTATTCATGTATTTGTCACAGGGTCTTGTCCTCCGGCGATCTGTCGGCTTTTTCTGCCTCACTGCCAGCACTCAACTACATCTCCTGTAGTACGGAAACTGTATCGTAGGAGCTGATGTTGTGCGCAGCCACAGCTCACTAGGTATCGATGCCATTCGGTCAGAGACACTTGCAGCAGCATTATGACAAGCAGGGGACTCACTGGTCTAATTCTTCCAACGCTGTCAAAACCAGCGCCAGATGCATGCTGGAGTTTGTAATATTATCTGCAATTTAGAACTACAGAAGCAGAACTTAGTCCTCACACTACAGTCCAGTACCACTTCTTCCTGTACTGTTGAAGTCATGAAGCTAATGTTGCGGATGCGTTGGTGTGTTACTAGGGAACTACATAATTACGTCCGTGCAGCAAAATCTCCGTTGATAGTGACCTTGACCCACCAACCTGCTTATCTCTTGGATTGCATAAGGTGAGCTTTTTGAGGTTATACAGAGCGCTGATGTGATATTCCTGGCCGTTTTTAAGACATTTACTTTTTACGTAATCGGATACTGCTTTTCAAACTCCGATAAAACGTGACCAGCGGCCCTTGCTAAGGCTGCACTGTTATCATTCTTTTCCAACGGCAATTAGTCGTTCGAGTTTGCAGGTCATCGTCTGACGCCCCACGTAGCACAACCTGACGAATTTTAAATTTTTAAAGTCATTTTCGTTCCCATGCTCGGCTTTTACACAATCATCCAAATATCATGCTTTTGTCCTCAAGAAACACTCGATGACCTTCCGATTTCCCGAACCAGATGCCTTCTTGTAACGGTTTAGAAATCTTCCAGAAATCGTTCGGAAATGCTCTGGGAGCCATTCGGAAAGCCCTTGGAAATCATTTAAAAATTCTCCGGAAAGCGTTCGGAAATCCTCAAAAAATCTTTAGGTAATCCTATGCAACTCGTGAGCAACCCATGTGTTGGGATTGAGCGCGCCGTCGGTGGCCGTTCTGGATCTGTCGAATCCCACCGACAGGCACTCACATTCACCTGTTTGTACAATGCATATTCAGCCCCTGTACTGCTCTAAACCGTATGCTCATCCTACACCCGCTGTTTTCATGAAACTTACTGGGCCCCGCCAAACTAGCATTAGGATGTTGCTATGACGCTTGGTGTAAGAATACCTGCGTACTTCGAACGGCATATATGCTACTTAAGCGTAAGCGAGCCAATCCTACAGCTGCACAGGAAGCGAAGGCAAGGTGCAATATTCATTGCAAAATGACCGCGGGGAGAAAGATCGCAAACGCTTACCACATTCAGTTAAAGTGTTAAAGATGCTGGAAAAGGCAAATATTTGAAGAAAAATGATTACAACCAAAACAGTTTTACGAGAACCTCAGTCCTCCGTCCTTCTGTTTAGGTCCACAATCTCTACTCCCTGAACTGGAAGTATTGGTAGACAGGATACATCACTGCTTACTTCACCCAGACTACTGAGGCATCCGCAACCTGTTCGCTGTGTGTGGTTGTGCCATACGGCGTGCAACCAGGATATGACAGATTTCGTGACATCCGAGACGGTCACACCGACGGACCCAAACCGTCGAAGTAGCACAGCTGTAATAGATTTACACGTACAACAAGTACATTTTACAATGAATAACAGTATTACCAGTGGTCTTCGGAAAGCAAATACACTTTGCGCTCCGGAGTACTTCCTGCATGATGCAATATTGCGACTCATCAACGCGGGCGTCCTGTTCCCGGCGGCCGCGTTAATTTTGTTTCTGTGAATGGTTTCCGGGTACCGCACTTCATCAAACGATAGTTACGTGGTTGTAATGTTACCAAGTTAGCTTTGCTTTGCTTTTCTCTTCTAGAACAAAACCAACTACCAGTAGCTACGCAAGAGAAGAAATTAGCACAGGAAAATGCGAAGTGAAATTCGTATGTGACTGCCGTAAAGCTTCCGTTAAGCATTTCTTTCTGTCAGACGTCCTTTTGAACAGGCTGTCCCAGGGCAGGTTAATTTCTACGCAAGACGACGCAAGCGTTTAGAAGACCTTTCAATATTACCTAGAAAAAACATGAAGCTCCTTTAACTTCTGGCATCTCACCATGCTGCTTTCGTTGAATGCACGCAATTTTACCTATGCGTCAGCATAAATTATGAGATATAGTTGCCAAAGCTGGGCTCCTGCAGTGCCCTCGGTGTGGGTGGTGAATGTCTAACGGTACCTGGAAACGACTGCATTGAGTAATAATTTTAAGAGATGACACATCTGGACAAACGAGATAAGTCCCGGATTGGGGTATATATGCCGATCGATGGTGATTGCCGTCCATGGCTGTGGTCGTACAAATTTTCAAACGCTGGGCATAATATTTAAGTACTTCCATCGTCCATTTGGTGCACAGCTTGAAAGACATAAGGGTTGTTACCGACCACAAATACGTTGTTTGAAAAGAATGGTGAGTGAAATATACCATTTATAATGAATATTAGCACATTGTTACAGAGTAAAACACGCACTATACACCTTATCTAGAAGTGGGAATCACCTTAGCTACTGTCCCGCAATACCAGAAAAAAAAACTTTTATAAAATGTAACAGGTGCATGCCAGCTGAGCTACCGGCAACGGCATGGCATCGTTCCAGTAAGCTATCTGCCGGCTACTATGCAGTAAATAAAGTACCTTCCTATGCAAAATTATAAACCACAAAATAATGAGATTGCGGTTGGAGGAGGAGGCTAAGAGGGATGGGGTGGGACAAAGAAAATCACAGCATGAACGCCACTAGGGTCGGCTCTAGGCACACCAACAAGTGTATCCAGCCAAACGATTTCATCTTCTTTCGGAACCTAACCAGGCAGCCGAGAAGCTCCAAATGAGGCCAGCTCATAAGTGAGGGCCTTCATTCCTCTCGACTAAGTCCTCGCTTGGGGACCTCTCTTCTGTTTCCATCCACACCTCTGATGCGTAAGCAATGCAGGTCGCGGGAGCCGGTGGGCCAGCATGCGAAACACATGGCTTAGCCATCGGAGCTTGGTGCATGCAATAACGGTGCTGAGTGGGTCAGTTCCGTTTACTGTGTTGTAAACAAGGTGTCGACCACGCTCGTTGCCCGCGCGGTGTTCTCACCAGATGTGAGCTAAATTGCGAAGGCACTGGGGGTTGAACGTAACTAGTCTCTTTATGTCCCCTGACCTAAGGGGCCAAGTTTCACAACCGTACATTAGGGTAGAACGTACCACTGCATTGTACACCCTACATTTCAAGGCGAGAGTGATTTCGCGCCGACACCATAAACGCCGAATGTTAGCAAAAACGCCTAGAGCTATTGCATACAGTACCTGATCTCATCTTCAATCCTGCGGGTGCCTATACAACTTCCTAGGTAGTGGAACTTCTGAAGGAAACCTAGCTGGTCGCCACCAAAGGTCAGGGAAGGAGGCGGTCCAGGTTAATCTTGTAGGAACGCTTTGCAATTCGACGGTACAAAGCAACTCCCGAAGCGGCTGACAGCCAGTGCTAAACTGTCCAGTGCTGCCCGGCGCGTCTGGGAGCTGTCACAGGTGACGGCAATTTGGTCTGCGTACACCAAAACAAGAAGTTCTTTTCTTGGGGATAGTTCCGCACCTCATAAGTGGTATTCTGTGAACACGCTTTCCAGGACTTCGTCAATAGCGAACTTAAAAAGGAAAGGTGACAGCGGGCATCCCTGTCTCATATCGCAGAAGGTATCAAAGGGCGGCGACAGCTTACCGTAAGCCCACACCCTGCCTGAGCTACGCGCATATAATGATCGGATAATATGTATATATTTCACAGGTACACCTTTCCTGAGTAGTCAAGCCCAAAGTGCATGTCTATCCACCGAATCGAATGCACCTTTGTTATCGAGGAATACAATAACGGTAAGCCGCTAATATGTGTGACGATGCTTCAACGACTGATGCAAAGCGAATACGTGGTCAATGAAGCCACGACCTCGACAAAACCCGGCTTGCACTTTACGAATATTGCTTTCACGAGTGCCAGTCAGGCTGTGAAGAAAGACTGAGGCAAGAAATTTGGAGGCGATGGAGATCAAAATGATTTAGCTATGGTTTCTGCATTCCGATCGTCAGCCGCCCTTGAAAATTGAGATAATGCACGAATGTTATGCACAAAGCATCGGATTCCTCAGCGTGGGTGTCAGCAGGCTGCGCAGCAATTTCCATACACCTGCGCAGTAGCTGCGCCATAGGATTAACAGCATTGCGAAGCATATGCTTCAGCAAATAGATGCACTACTCGAACAGAAACGCAAAGGTATCCAAAAGTTCGTGTTATTCAACACCTTGCACTAATTGCACTAGGGAAAAAACGTTACAGGTCATTTCCTCTGCGCCATATTGATGGTAAAAATTTTCACAGTCATTCAACGCATCATCTGCGACCCGCCGTGAGCTTCTACAAGCACAGGGTGTCATAGGAAGTAAATAGCTCTATGGAAATTAATGAAGTTTACATAGTATAACAGTGTCATTACGTGTGGAGGCAGTGCAGTCCTTGCGTGCAATAAAAACTGTCGGAACTCGGTAGCTTTCCAGCGGCGATAAATGTCCATGCTCCGACAACACCTACTGAAATCTCTTGTCCAGCAAAAACAGATTCCGCGCATAAGCTCATTCAAGCTTCGATGCCCTCCCCTTCAGGGTTGGCGTTTTCCCTAACGAAATCATTCGACGCATACCACATAAACACACAGCGTGCAAGTAATCCTTTGGTAATGTGGCAACCATATCTATTGTAAGCGACTCAAATGGTGATAGTTCAGGTCGCTTAGACAACCAAAACGAGGAATTAGTGCGTGGACTATAACCAGTATTTGGAAACGTCGCTTTTAGACGGAGCTACTTGCCCCGCTGCACACACTTGCCATGACTACCATAACCGGAATGCGATTTGTCTCTTTCAACAAAAGCACGCGCAGGCATGTGACATATGACAGCATCTATGTGTAACATGGTATGTGCTGTATAGCAGGGTAAAAGCACACCAATGGACAAATCATCAAGCAATTCATATATGATGGGAGCCAGGGATGCATGTGCATTTTATTGCTTTCCTGAGCCACTATACAGACCGAAAACGGAGGGGGCTGACACATTTGGGGTTATCGCCCTGCACAATATGGTCCATTTCGGTAATGTTGTAGAACTGATAGGGCTAAAACCACTTACGTGTAATTAAATGCAAAGAACATCTATTGGAAGAGTACACTTTCCACGCAGTATAACAAAAATCCCTCCTTGTAATCCCATATATCGGTAAATCCCAGGAGCATAGAGACTGATTCTGTATCACTTGGATTCCGCATTAGCGTTCTTTGTTCATTCGACAATGCAAGCGGGAGTAGCCTAAACACAAGTAATAAGCTACGTGCTGAAGTTGCAGTTGGTCGGCTGCTCCAAACCCATTCGCGTAGTGAACGCAGAACATCCTCCTCGTGTTTCGTAGGGCAGAACCGTATCCATAGGCAACGCACTCTCCGATCTTAATGCATTCCCCAAACCTTAACATATATACATCAAAATGTAAACAGCTCACTTAAGGACGAAATCATGTTAGCATTAGGTGCTACTGAGGCAGAGGATAGCGATGCAGAATCAATAGCAACATGAAGCACATTATCCTTACATAAACGGAACAATAAACCGTTTTTACCACCAGAGGTGGATAAACAAACAGTGGTATTTTTGACAGCATCGACAACCTCCTGAGTCTTAAATAAGTCTAACCTAGGTCGCAACTGCAGCTGCCAAAATCTTTTACAAGTTAATTTAGATGGTAAAATATATGAACAAGTACGTTATGTTTGTCGACCTTCATAACGCTAGGGACAATGCACATGTAAATCTACCACCGACGCATAGCGCTAACTATGAAATGACCGGAGCGTAATAATCTGGAAAGATATCTCTAAGACAAGCTTGCCGGACCGGGACACACATATGTGAGTTTTACCTAGCAACGGGTTGGTTTCGGCTGTTATGATAGGCCAAATGCAGGTGCTGCCGTTAGATGAAGTTTTGTATATATATAGTATGCACATGTTAAGTTAGTGTGTTATTTGTATCTAAGAAGGTTAATGAGATTATGATAGTTGGTCGTTGTGGCATGCCACAGGAGTATTGAACATCACTTGGCGCCACATTTGCACTTGTCAAAATGGTGGATGATTCCAAGGGATTCTGTCTGTTGGTGCGTATATATTAACGGAAATTTGGGAAGGTTGTGTCCAATTTGAAGTAACTTCAATTTGCTACTGCCACAGCTTTTTGCCAACATACGGCTGCGACTCGGCAGCATTACGAACAACAAGCGGTGAAGCAATTATCGGGGGATTACTCGTACCAGTACGTGCAGTATCACTGTGTTCATGGTAAACGCAGCAACGGTTGTGGGAAAAGGTGTTGCTATTCTCACCGTACCACAAAAGCTCCACAGTAACTGGATGCTGGATTTCAAGGCGCATTTCTCTTTCAATCTAAATGGCAAACTTTACGAACGAAAGGCATTGCATCTGCGCCATTGTCATGCTGGGAAGTCATGGCGCTAGCCACACAGCAGGAGATTGACAGAGGTGAAGGAAATAGAGGAGCTTTCCCTCATGTTCGTGTTCAAAACTGCAATGGATATCCGCCATTACATATCAAATGCACATGGTTGGACGTTGAACGCCGATGATCTGTGGGTGTCTGGAAGGCGACACAAGAAGCGAAAAACGGGGGAGGTAAACGAGGTGCCAGAATTGTTGGAGTTTCACGGCCCTTGTCGTGTGGTGAATGGAGGCATGGTGGTGAGATATATTGCACTTCGTGCCGACGGATATGGAGGTCATTGTGGAAGGATATTGAGAATTAGTTTTGGCGGAAGCCACTCACCAAGTTAATTATGGAAGAGATATTTTGTGGCACTGTATGCTGGTAGATGTAATTGGTGTGGCGCACTATTTTTCTATGCGTTGTTGCTGAATGATATATACCACAGCTACCGGCAAGCTGTGAAAGCGATAAAGGAGATGTTACCTTTCGCGCAATCGATACTTACCCTTGTAATAGATAATTG